TATCCACATGATGATCAGTTGCCCAGCCTGTCCTGATTTATATACTGAGCATGATTATGTGGTGTGGAATATTCCTCTGGCCAGCTTGTCCTGTCAGATTCTATGGGAAGCTGAAAAAGTCCTTGGCTTCATATAATCATTAATTAACAACTACTAAACAATATGTGTTATGGACATTCTTCTCATACTAAATCCAAAACATGGCAGCTACTATGAAGAAAATTGTCTATCCCAGCTGAAACCAGGACAACATCTGTATTCAGTCTAATCTCTTATGTTATCCTGCTGAAATACACTTATATCTATATGAGCAGAGTGTCTACCATAAAATAATAGTAGATGACTAATGGTGTCTACAGTATTACCATTTAGATAATCTTTACTGAAGCAGTAGTTTCACTACCGCTTGCATGACCATATGACTAATACTTGGTTTTATAGGTTCAAATTCAGCTGAAACAGATAGCCAGATGGAATGGACTGATGTTCAGAAAAAGATTATACCTTGGAAGAACAGTACTCCTAGTTCAGACCTCGAAATGGCATTTCAGGATCGTGCTACTAAACTCGGTAAATCAAACAGCAGACTGATTGTGGTGGCTTCGCTTATCGATAAACCTACCAATTTAGGAGGTAAGGTTGATTGCACATTTTAAAACCTTTATTTTAGACCTTAGAGCCCACTTGGATAATAAGAATGAATTTCATCTTATGTTGAGAATTAGAAAATTATTTAATTACTGCTTAGAGAAATAGATCATCGGTTTGGAAAAAGCTGGTAACCAAAAGGAATACTGCCTGTTTCAGAAGAAGGGGTCTTATACTGAAAATAGTTATATTTTAAGAAAAAAAAAAGGTGCTTATACATAGCATGCATTAACTAAATAGTACTTTGCTCTAAATAGTGCTCAGTTTCTTAGTATTTTTTATATTCTTTGTTATAGTTGAGTTTTTCAATTGTGTATGCAATTAAAGGAAATAATTTGCTTTTACTTTTTTTTTTTGTAACAATTAAACCGAATCTTGTAGACCTACTAGTTTCTTGGGATTATTGGACAAGAAAGTGCAATTTCCTGATTAAATACTCCTTCACAATATCGAGTGAGCTGTGATACAATAAAACCTTCAAATGATGTAATAAATCCTGCAAATACATTATTGCGTTGTGCTTGTGACTGTCAGTAGTTTCAATAACAGCAGTGAGACTGTTAATGAGAAATCAGCCCAGAAGCTGGTGCTGTGTGCACTGTAACACTGTCATGTGTCATTCTCTCAAGCCTTTCATTTAACAGGTACTGGATTTAGAGCTTAAGCGTGGGGGTGTGTGTCCATCCATCCCTGCCCAGGCTTTTACACTGACTCATTACTTTGTGTAATTAGTATTATAGAAGCACATTGTCAGACGTAGTGCTTTCCTAATTTTTATCTTTCTGCTAAGTTACTTTTTTTTTTTCTCTGCTAAATTATATGGAGCAAAGTGTGACTTGGAACAGACTTTAAAAGCACAGGAAACTGATTAAAAATAGAGGACTAAAGTAATCATTTCTTTCTTGGGTTCTTTGTCCTTTTTCACTTGCTGAAATATTCTGGCTTGGTGTTTATTTTCTACACAAAAATGACTTTAATTTTTCTGTTTGTAGGTTTATGTCGTACAAGTGAAATATTTGGGGCATCTGCACTAGTCGTTGGCAGTCTTCATTATATACAGGATAAGCAGTTTCAGCATCTTAGTGTTTCTGCAGAGCAGTGGCTCCCCCTTGTTGAGGTGAGTGGAAATATTTTGATAGCTAGAAAGCATACTGTACATCTTCAGTTCATCAGATGCGTAGTTCAGAGTCATTGTTAAATCTTAACTGTGTGTTTTATAGTGATGCGTTGGAATTTAATGTTTATTTATAAAAGTTGAACAGCAGTTCATTTATCTTGCTTGGTCCATTGCTTTGGTAACTTCTCGGGGATAATCTTTGAGTTTGCCTGAAGCTAATTTGTGCCAAGCTTTTAGAACCTATTATCTAGCTTAAAAAAATGATGGTTTCAGCTTATATGTTTAGTATGTGGTAGAAAATGTGTGTGTGATACATCATAATAATCCGCTGTTCAAGATCAACTTTGTTTAAAACCCCTGAAAAATTCAGTGCAAATTTTTCATTTTTTTTCAAAGTGTTTATTTTCACTGTAAAGATTTTTCTTCAGAGCAAGATAGCTGTAGTGTGTTTTACCATCAGAATGCTGATGGATACACATTGTAGTTCCTAATCTCTGTACAGAAGTGTACTGATTAACAGAGTTTGTTGCATGAAGAAATTGGTGTCTAATACAAATAAGCAGTTTAGAGAGTAGGATGAAGACAGCAAAGAAATTCTTCCCTGCAAGCTGTCACAAGTTGTAATGCAGGCATGTAAGGCAACTCAGCTTCAGTACTGGCTGTTGTATTATTTTTGGGAAGGGATTCCAGGCTATAACAACTATGCAAGAGTGATGCTTTTACATTTTGATGTAAGGTTTGTAGCTGTCAGAAGCATAGAAAAGCCTTTGTTTGTTGTATTAGTGGAGTGCATTTTTGTGGCATTAACTTAACCTTTTGTGCTATTGCTGAAGAGCATTTAAAGTGGTAACCTATGTGTATGGTCAGAGTCTGTGGGGATGGAGGTCATTCATCTTAAAAACTGTCCAGTTAAATTGATTTTTACAGTAACTTCAGAAGTTTACAAATGGTAGTATTAACATATTTTTATATTTCTACTTTTGATGGACAGGTGAAGCCATCTCAGCTTGTTGATTATTTACAGCAGAAGAAAACGGAAGGCTACACTATTATTGGTGTGGAGCAGACAGCTAAAAGTTTTGATCTTACGGAATATTGTTTCCCAGAGAAGTCACTATTATTGCTGGGGTAAGAACACACACTTTTTCTTAAGTGTACCTCTTGCAGTCCATCCCTTCTGCTAGTCAGTTTGGTCATAGGAAACCCAAGCAACACTGGTAAAGCTGGATTTAGAATGGGAAGTGATTTATGGAAGCAGCAGAGCTTGGCTTTGTGTGCTAAGGAGTGGGAGGTATTGATATCCATACACTGTAACTTCTTTTTTTTATGGGTGGAGGTGGCAAAGGCTTGGATTATAGTTTTCCAGGTGTGACAGAGATATCATCTGTTCACTTCAGTAGTCTGGGGCCCTGCCTGCGTGGGCTGCAGTGAGCTCAGGAAGGGGGGCTGCCTGTCTGCACTGCCTACAAGTCAGAAAGCTACTGGAATTGCAGGGCCACTGAGTGAGACCAGGAGAAAGGGCCTGTCTATCCTTCTAGGACAAAGTGGGCAGAAATACCTCCTGTTTGTAAACCTTTTTATATGTAGTTTGCCTTCAGAATGTAGTTCTCATCATCACTTTGTTCTCTCCTAATGAAAAACATAGTTTTAAGTACAGATAACCTTTGGTATCTTCTGGTGTGCTCGTTCTGAAGAGGTAAAACATTTCCAGCTCAAGGCTTTGATCAGTCTTGACGTTTCCTCATACCAAGACCTCACTGAGTGTAAGGTGGGCAGCTGAGCTTCCCCGCTGTGCCAGCAGCTCCATTCCCTGGTCACTTAATCAAAAGCTATTTATTTTGCTGTGTGGGGGTAGTTTCAAAGTAAAGGCAGAGAGGGAGTCCTTCTGTTGGGTGTTCAGCTATTGCTGGACCCGTGAATTAAAAATGGAAGTGCTCTGCCAGTTTTCCTATATCAAAGTTTAGGCAGGTCTCCCATTTTTCCTTTGTATCTGTAATTTAGTACTGCTTTAGAAAAAGATAAATCATTTCTTGTCCTCATCAGTTATATTGAGGGCAGATGCACAATTTGTCAAATGGTGTTTTGATGCTGTTGTGACTCTTCCATCTCCTGCTTTCTAGAACACCTATCTTTTCCCACATGTAAGTTACTGTTTGTTCTTTGCTAGAAATGAGCATGAAGGAATCCCAGCAAACCTGATTCACCACCTGGATGTCTGTGTGGAAATTCCTCAGCAGGGAATTATTCGATCACTCAATGTTCATGTAAGTGGAGCTCTGCTGATTTGGGAGTACACAAGGCAACAAGTGATCAAGCAAAAACAGCAAAAATAACTGCCAAGAGTTTCGTGCCTTATAGTACAGCTGAGTGACTTCCTGTGGTGCTACAACATGAAATTCTGAATAGATGAGAAACAAACTCAGGGTGAAGGAGGATTCTTAAGTTTTGCATGTTTTGTTCTGTTGTAGTTCAGACTGATTTTTTAAATGCCTTATTAATACTTTACCTCCTTAAATGAAATTGTTGCATTGGAAATAAATATTATTTATATTGTATGTGGTGTGTGTGATTTTTTTATTTTTTTTTTATATACTAGTAGAACATCAGCACAGTGCTATGAACAATCCAACCTCAAAACGTGGGCTTTTGACTGCAGTTACTTTCTGGTGACCACGCTTGAAATTCTACAAGCACAATCAACTTATTGTAGCAAAAGTATTTGATGCCTCCAGCATTTAGATATACTGGATTATACAATTTGTACAAGGTGAATTCACTTAATGTCATTACATTAAAGGCTGCCCCTTGTTTAAATGCCTTCCATGGTCAAGTTTACTAATCCTGCTGTGAATAGCCTGTAACTTTAAATGTAGCTGCATCAGTAAGGTAATCAAAACCACAAAATCATGCAGAAGAAATCTGGGAAAGATTATACAGAAATATTATACAGAAATCTCATGTGAGAATCATGATAAAGAACTGCCATACTTCTAATAGCAATACTGCTTGAAAACTGTTACAGCTAATGTAAAAATTCCTATTGTTTATAAAAAATTGGCATACTCAAAATATGTGAAGTATCATATGCACAGGATGCATTAGGTCATCTGCTGCCTGCTGTTTTATAAATTGATGTCTGACTTAACAGGTATTTGTCGTTTACATTATACCACCATCTCCTTTTGACAAGGAGGGGAAGGTAGAACACATTTTCTTCTTTTAATGGAAAAGCTGGTTCACTTACGAAAAACAATTTTATTGTTCTTTCAAATATGTACATTACACTATTAAATAATCATTTATTCAGGTGAAACAATTTGACTAATTACACATTCAAAACCTTAGGTTTGTGAACAGCCCTGCACCATATTTCTTTGACTTAAGAAAAAGTTGTCCATGACCATCTTTTTTCAGCAGGCACATGAGACCTTGCAACAAGAACAGCAGCCTGCATTTCGGAGAGACAGTCAGTTCTTGAGCTCAAGCAGCTTCTGTCGCTTCCTCGTGCTTCTTCTTCCGTAGTTGTTCTCACTAGATTTATTTTGAAGAGCTGAGTATCTAAGACTTTCCAGCAGCTTCTGGAGGATGATAGCCTTCTGTTTCAAGCTTTTTTTTATATTTTAAAAAGTCTCTTCTTTTGTCAAAATATTTAACCTGTTTAAAAAGAGAAAAGATGCGCGTCAGAAGAAACCAGCAGAGGAAAGGGGCTTTGAGTATCACAAGAAGACTAAGCAATAAATGATCTTTGATCACTGAACTTAAGGAGGAATTTAGCTCAACCCACTAGCTAGGAGTTTCTTGCTGCCTTGAAGCAGAAGACTGAAGGGTAAGAGTGGGTTTGGGTTTTGTGGGTACCATTCTGAAAGTGAACTTCATTGACGGTTGGACAAGATGATTTTTGATGTAGGCTGATGGTTTACTGTGAAATTATACTACATGAAGAAATGTATTCTTATGCACAAGAAGGTATCAGATGCCAGTCTTGTGATGCAACTCTGCAAGCTCTGCATGTCATACTGGCCTTCCTTCTTTGGTAACAGTAATTTCTGTGCGCTTCCAAAAGCTTCCGAGTATCTTTTGGAACTTGTTTTTGTTTTTTTAATTTAACAATAAGCCTGTATGCTTGTATAGTTGCACGTTTATATGAAAGTTTGATATCATATTTTCTTTTCCCTTTATATTATAAACTACTCTCCATAGTTCCTAGGCCAGCCAGTGACCCGCTCAGGACTTTTAATTTCACAGCAAGACAAAAAGTGCACAAACCATCTTATGTGTGATAAGGCTCCTGGGTTATCAATGAGAAAGTGCAAGAGTACACATGTTCTGCAATCACAGAACCATAGAATAGTTAAGAGTTGGAAGGGACCTTAAATATCATCAAATTCCAACCCCCTGCCCCGGCCAGGACACCAAGCAGGAGTTGCCATCATTAACAAGGTAAATGTTAATGATGGCATTATAATGATGGCTGAACGGGTCCAGCTGAGGGCCACGAAGATGATCAGAGAGCTGGAGCACCTCTCCTATGAAGACAGGCTGACAGAGTTGGGGCTGTTCAGCCTGGAGAAGAGAAGGCTCCAGGGAGACCTTGTAGGAGCCTTCCAGTACCAGAAGGGGGCCTACAGGAGAGATGGGGAGGAGGGGTTTTACAACCGCATGCGGTGATAGGAGGAGGGGTAATGGCTTCAAACTGGAAGAGGGTGATTTAGATTAGATATCTTTACTGTGAGGGTGGTGAGGCACTGGAACAGGTTGCCCAGAGAAGCTGTGGCTGCCCCATCCCTGGAGGTGTTGCAGACCAGGCTGGACGGGGCTTTGAGCAACCTGCTCTGGTGGGAGGTGTCCCTGCCCATGGCAGGGGGGCTGGAACTCGATGACTTTTTAAGGTCCCTTCCATCCCAAACCACTCAGTGATTCTATGACTCCTCGCAGCTCCCGCCAAGGCGCACAGAAACGCTGGGCTGATGTGGTACCAGCCCCGGCAGGCCCGGGGACGCGTCGGGAGCGGCGGCTGCTCACCCACCCACTGCTGGGGACAGCGGGACTCGAAGGCCAGCCGCAGCTTCTCGCACTTGGAGGCGTCCTCGGCGTGCTTGTCCAGGCACTGCCAGAACTCGTCCCGGGCCCCCCAGCAGGCCTTCCGCTCCTCCATGTTTGGCGCCGACATCTTCGCCGTCTAGTAGACCTGGACGCCGACGGTGGGTTCTTCCACAAGTGAGGCCCGACACCGCCCTGCCCTGCGGTCCCGAGGCTGCGGGGGAAGGAGGAGTTGCTTGAGGGGAGGCCGCGGGCCCCGCACCGCGCTCGCCCGGCGCGGCGAAGGTCAGGGTCCCGGAAGCGGTACCGCGCGGGCAGAGGGCGGGGCGGAGCTTTACCCAGTGCGCAGGCGCAGGCCCGCCGGCGCGGCGTGAGATTGGTGGGGAGGGGGTCGGTTGTCCCGCCCCCGCGCGCGCGGGCCCTGGTCGCCATGGGGACGGAGCTGCCGGTGCCCCTGATGGTAAAAACAAGGAAGAAGGACTGGTTTACCCCTGTGGAAAAAAAAAAATAAAATAAATTCCCCCGCGGTCAGGGTGATACCAGAAGCCTGGAATCTGGTTGGGAGGACGGCTGGTGGGCTCAGCCCAGCAGCAACACCGGGCACGAAGCTGCTGCCTGCAGTGCTGGTTAAAAAAGCACCCAGGAACGAAGTCTTTAATTGTTTTATTTGCAAGTTCATGGCATTGCCTCATGGCAGTCAGTCCTGGTAGCCGAAGAATTGATAGTCTTCCACGCCAGCCACCTGGAAGTATGGAGCGGTTTTGCAGTTTTGAAGCATGTCTCCATAGTAACACACTTTGGTTTTGGGAAGGGCGATGTTTTGGTAGCTTGGCAGAGTCTCACTCTGCAAGGTGCTGAGCCCCTGGCAGCTCCCCAGCTGGCAGCTCTACCAGGAGCTTGTCTTGAAGATAACTTCTTAAGCCAGGTAATCACCAGACCCACCAGAGGGCATGTGATACTGGACCTGATGGTCACCAACACAGGTGAGCTACTCAGTGACTTCAAGATTGGAGGCAGCCTTGGGCTGCAGTGATCATGCATTGGTGGAGTTCACAGCCCTGAGGTCAATGGGTCAGGCAAAGAGTCAAGTCAGGAGCCTGAATTTTAGGAAAGCAAACTGCTAGCTCTTCAAGGAGTTAGTCAACAGAACCCCCTAGGCAACTGTCCTAAGGGACAAGGGAGCAGAACAGAGCTAACAGATCTTTAAGGATAGTTTTCATAGAGCACAAGAGCTCTTGAGCCCCAGGTGTAAGAAATTGGGAAAGCAGAGCAAGAGACTGGCATGGCTGAGTCAAGACCTGCTTGGCAAATTAAGGGGCAAGAAAGAGATACACAGGAAACCAGGACAGGTATCCTGGGAAGACTGTAGAGACTTTGCCCAGTTGTGTAGGGATGGGGTCAGGAAGGCCAAGGTGCAGCTGGAGCTGAACTTGGCAAGGGACACAAAGAATAATAAGAGTATCCTGGGCTGCATCAAAAAAATCTTGGCCAGCTGGTTGAGGGAGACGATTCTGCTCCTCTATAGTCTCATGAGACCTCACCTGGAGTACTGCATCCAGCACTGGAGCCCTCAGGACAGGAAATACATGGACCTGGTGGAGCAGTTCCAGTGGAGGGCCACAAAAATGGGGTACCTCTCCTATGAGGACAGTCTGAGACAGTTGGGGTTGTTCAGCCTGGAGAAGAGAAGGCTCTCTGGCAAGACCTTATTGCTGCCTTCCAGAACTTAAAGGGGGGTTATAAGAAAGATGTGGACAAACATTTTAGTAGGGCCTGTTGCAATAGGACAAGGGTCATGGTTTTAAAGTAAAAGAGGAGGATTTAGACTGTAAGGAAGACATTTTTTACATTGAGGGTGGTGAAACACTGCTATAGGTTGCCCAGAGTGATATATGCACCATCCCTGGAAAGATTCAAGTTGCGGTTGGATGGGACTCTGAGCAACCTGATCTAGTTGAAGATGTCCCTCCTCATTGCAGGTGAGATTGGACTAGATGACCTTTTAAGGTCCCTTCCAACCCAAACTGTTGTATGATTCTGTGATAGCCAGTGCTCCTTCTGGTACGTCAGGCTGCTTGGCAGCCAGGTCAGGGAGTGGGTGTTGCTGAGCCAGGTTTCTTCCTTAGCATGAGGTAATGGTTCTGGCTGGTGGTGGTGGGCATGCTTTCCATGTTCTCCTTGCAGGGGGCTCACTCATCTGAATACAAGGAAAGGTATTTTAAAAGAAGACCAAGAATTTGCAGTTCTTCAGCAGAGCCCCCTGCAAGCCAGCCAGGTTTGAGGGGACTTTGTTTCTCAAAATACCTAACCAAGCCCTTGGAAGGAATACTTTATTAGAGCCAAGTGAATGTGACTGCTGCTGTACGCTGTACAGTATATAACACAGTCCGCGTTCTCGTCCCTGCCTATTTGCTTAACTACCTTCTGTTTGCTAGACTATGATAGGTAAGAGATAGAAATTCAGTAATTTACTTTTTAATGGAACAGGGGGTTTAAGGTGAGTGGTAGTCACTCCGAAAGTAGAACTTCAATTGTATGTTTCCATTGAAAAGAATTAATATAGAAGTAAATTTATATTACAGCTTACTTACGACCCTTTTACGCTCAAGCTTTTGTGAAACAAGCTTTTACAAGCATGAATATTGAAAAGAAAATTAATGTTAAGTCTCAAGACTGAAATGTGATAATAAGAAATGTCAGTTGTGTTTTAGATTTCAAAATTTATGGTGCATGTAATGTTGTTTAGTCACTACATTGACAAAACAGAGGGGATAATGTGATTATATATAATTAATCACAAGGCCCAAATAGCACATCTGGGATATTTGTGATAAATAGTTTTTTCTTTAATGACCTGTAGCCCAAGAAATACTCACTGGAGACAATTGTAAATAACTCTGTGTAATGGATATTACAGAAATGTGGTGACCTGGCTTTAGAAAGTGCAGAAATAGATGATTCGATGCTTCTATGAATAGAAAAAAAAAAAGACAAATTTATCTAATACATTTTTAATGGCAATATTTCCATTTGGTTAAACTGCTATCATAAGGAGGTGGATTTTTTTGTTGTTAGTTCACAGCCCTGAGGTCAATGGGTCAGGCAAAGAGTCAAGTCAGGAGCCTGAATTTTAGGAAAGCAAACTGCTAGCTCTTCAAGGAGTTAGTCAACAGAACCCCCTAGGCAACTGTCCTAAGGGACAAGGGAGCAGAACAGAGCTAACAGATCTTTAAGGATAGTTTTCATAGAGCACAAGAGCTCTTGAGCCCCAGGTGTAAGAAATTGGGAAAGCAGAGCAAGAGACTGGCATGGCTGAGTCAAGACCTGCTTGGCAAATTAAGGGGCAAGAAAGAGATACACAGGAAACCAGGACAGGTATCCTGGGAAGACTGTAGAGACTTTGCCCAGTTGTGTAGGGATGGGGTCAGGAAGGCCAAGGTGCAGCTGGAGCTGAACTTGGCAAGGGACACAAAGAATAATAAGAGTATCCTGGGCTGCATCAAAAAAATCTTGGCCAGCTGGTTGAGGGAGACGATTCTGCTCCTCTATAGTCTCATGAGACCTCACCTGGAGTACTGCATCCAGCACTGGAGCCCTCAGGACAGGAAATACATGGACCTGGTGGAGCAGTTCCAGTGGAGGGCCACAAAAATGGGGTACCTCTCCTATGAGGACAGTCTGAGACAGTTGGGGTTGTTCAGCCTGGAGAAGAGAAGGCTCTCTGGCAAGACCTTATTGCTGCCTTCCAGAACTTAAAGGGGGGTTATAAGAAAGATGTGGACAAACATTTTAGTAGGGCCTGTTGCAATAGGACAAGGGTCATGGTTTTAAAGTAAAAGAGGAGGATTTAGACTGTAAGGAAGACATTTTTTACATTGAGGGTGGTGAAACACTGCTATAGGTTGCCCAGAGTGATATATGCACCATCCCTGGAAAGATTCAAGTTGCGGTTGGATGGGACTCTGAGCAACCTGATCTAGTTGAAGATGTCCCTCCTCATTGCAGGTGAGATTGGACTAGATGACCTTTTAAGGTCCCTTCCAACCCAAACTGTTGTATGATTCTGTGATAGCCAGTGCTCCTTCTGGTACGTCAGGCTGCTTGGCAGCCAGGTCAGGGAGTGGGTGTTGCTGAGCCAGGTTTCTTCCTTAGCATGAGGTAATGGTTCTGGCTGGTGGTGGTGGGCATGCTTTCCATGTTCTCCTTGCAGGGGGCTCACTCATCTGAATACAAGGAAAGGTATTTTAAAAGAAGACCAAGAATTTGCAGTTCTTCAGCAGAGCCCCCTGCAAGCCAGCCAGGTTTGAGGGGACTTTGTTTCTCAAAATACCTAACCAAGCCCTTGGAAGGAATACTTTATTAGAGCCAAGTGAATGTGACTGCTGCTGTACGCTGTACAGTATATAACACAGTCCGCGTTCTCGTCCCTGCCTATTTGCTTAACTACCTTCTGTTTGCTAGACTATGATAGGTAAGAGATAGAAATTCAGTAATTTACTTTTTAATGGAACAGGGGGTTTAAGGTGAGTGGTAGTCACTCCGAAAGTAGAACTTCAATTGTATGTTTCCATTGAAAAGAATTAATATAGAAGTAAATTTATATTACAGCTTACTTACGACCCTTTTACGCTCAAGCTTTTGTGAAACAAGCTTTTACAAGCATGAATATTGAAAAGAAAATTAATGTTAAGTCTCAAGACTGAAATGTGATAATAAGAAATGTCAGTTGTGTTTTAGATTTCAAAATTTATGGTGCATGTAATGTTGTTTAGTCACTACATTGACAAAACAGAGGGGATAATGTGATTATATATAATTAATCACAAGGCCCAAATAGCACATCTGGGATATTTGTGATAAATAGTTTTTTCTTTAATGACCTGTAGCCCAAGAAATACTCACTGGAGACAATTGTAAATAACTCTGTGTAATGGATATTACAGAAATGTGGTGACCTGGCTTTAGAAAGTGCAGAAATAGATGATTCGATGCTTCTATGAATAGAAAAAAAAAAAGACAAATTTATCTAATACATTTTTAATGGCAATATTTCCATTTGGTTAAACTGCTATCATAAGGAGGTGGATTTTTTTGTTGTTAGTTAGCCAATTCTAAGTATCATTAGTGTCTTATTTTTGGGAAATGTGCCCAGGAAGTAATTAACAGGATATTTATAATAGCCAGGCAGAGGTAAATGTTCTAGAAAGATGGGAGGCAAAAAAATTCCAGATTTGTTAGGTGCACTGGTTGCCACAGTTGAAGCATTTGAATTACATTTCCATTTAGCAGTTAGTGAGATAGATGTTATAGAAATAGATGCCTGTCTCC